TGTTTTTCCTACGAGCCATACGATTGTATAGTGGACACCTGATATCGTAATACGGGTAATCTATTCAGACCAGTCGCGAAATCTAAACCCAAACGGTTTTGTCGAAACAGTAAAATCTAAACTATGATTTAACAGCAGATAAACTACGCTACGTTGTTCGCGTGAAACTTGTGCGACACGAATATTAATAACGTTATTATAATATTCCGCGTATCCGCGTGGAATTGACGTATTCGAAGTTTTTCAACCGTTGCCGTGTTATATCCCCCCCATGGACCTAATGGACGACAGAAAACACGTTATGTTCAAATGGCCTTTGCAAGACGGGTACTTCAACGATAAACCGTTGCTAACGAAAAACGATTCGGAGGGAAGTTTTTTTTTTTTGCACGTGCGTTTGCTTACGTTTTTCCTACGTTTTTTCCCGGTTTTCCGAAATTACTATGAAAACCACTCGGAAAATCAAAACATAACCACTTTAAAGATAAAATTTTCATTCATAAAATGTACTGCGCTTGATACATCGGAGCAAGATTTCCGGTAGGAAAGTTGTTCGCACTTCGCAGAAGAAAAATAATTAATATACATCATTGTTGCGAAACCAATACATTCGTCGCTAAGGTCAGAATCAAAAATCGAATTCTTTTTTGAGAAATGAAAAAAAAATGAAAGCTGGTTTTTTGGCTATTATAGCTTATAATTTTCTATTAACCTAAAGTTTATGATAGTTTTCATTTATAAATGGACGCAGATTTGCGAAATACTTCGAAATGAGTTGCGCTCGATATTAGATACTCGAATGTATTATGTAACAACAAGTATTGCGTGATACAAGATAGTCTATATGCATTAAATTTAAAATATTAATTACATTTTTCAGGCATGCGGTATCTAAAAATACGCTTACGTTGTTTATAAATTATTTTGAAACATCTTGCGAAGTTTCCGACAACCCCCTCCCTCATTTTCGTTCACAGTCGTTAATATGTTTTTCGAGAGCCAGGCGAGGAAACGACCCTGGCCTGAAAACTGTCGTCGTTTTGAGCACTGCTGGACAATAGACGTCTGCTTAAAAATGAGTAGCTATTGGTGCTGCTCGATACTGGATACATTGATTTCGGTATCGAAGTGCATTTGTTTTAAATACTCGATACTTTTCTGCAGAACCGTATCGCGATAAAAGATACAATATTTTATCCGAGTTACGCGTATATCAGATACTATCGTATCGTTGGTACTGCTTCATCGCATGCACGAGTCTTTGTTTAATAAAAACTGTACAGATTACACGAGCGCGCGTTTATTTATTTAACACGATATTAATAATCTCCTGTGTGTAGGACTGTATAAATTCTTTGACGCGAATACTGCGCTTTTAAGTCGCTGTTTCAAATTATATTGTAAATACATGTTTTACTCGCGGATACCCGATCTTTTCGAACTTCTGTTCGTTATTTAAATCTCGTTAGTCTAGCGAACCATTTCACCGTTCGTTTTGTACAAATAAAACACTATAATCCGCTATAAAACGTACGCGCGCGCTCGCTAATAAAACAATATACAAACTCCTAAAACGATATTGTTATTTCAACACTGCAGTCCCGTATACGAGCGTATGTAAAGTATAATCCAACACGATAGTATTATAACGTACGGTGGAGTTTTAATACTTTTAACAATGTTAGTCAACTATACGTATCTACTCGAATGTTCATTTTTTTTTCTCTTTATAATTCCACAACGTATCCGTTTATTATAATATGTTTATTTATAATTTAAAAACGCACGGCTGGTGTGTTAATTTAAAAATACGTCTTTGAAAAAAAAGGGTGACGCGACCTCTATATGCTGGTGTATATTAGCGATACGCGGTAAATATCCGACCGGCCGGTTGGACGGCGAAGGTGTGAATACGATATTTTCTTATTTGTAATATTTATCGTTTGACCGGAATTCGTTAAGATAAAAGGATAGTTTCACGTCCCGCCGGCGAAACGGGCGGTTTATCGCATTTTCGATTCTTATAAAGTGTAGCGTAAAAGCTTTATTTAGTATATAAAATATTCTAAAATACGTATGTTTTTTATTAAAAAAAAAAAAAAAAAAAAAAAAAAAAAAACACTTTTCGAGTTGGCGAAAGAGGGAGAACAGTAAAATATCATTAATGTGGCAGCACGGCGTTTTATTAGCGCTCCGCACTACTCTCTTCCTGCCTGAACTTAAATGCGCAGCAATATCTCGTTAACGAGTTGACGGAAATCAAAAGTTTTAACACAGACGTTTATTTTAAAATAATGCTCCTTCTATTCGTGGAATTTACAATATAGGACCGGCACAGGACGCTCCTTAAACGGAGCGTTAAATCGAAGTGTTCAAAAATATCGGCTTTAGCTAGCCGCGCACATAGAAATTCCGAAAATCAGAATTTGAACGTATGGAAAATTTAACCGAAAAAAAACGGGTCGTGAATGTCACTCAGTGAACCGCCCTGTATATTATATCAACGGCTAAATGTTCAAAACACCGTATATCGTTATTACTACGGAGCGATCACTTTGCACCATATTATTATTGCGTGTTGGCAGTGACAAATATGATTTGCGCTTTCGAGTCGCACTTGTACGTCAGCCTTAAAACCTCCGTTCGTTGAACGCGTTTCGAAGAACGACCGCGGACGTTAGTGGCGAACTCGGTCCACGACGCGGGGTGGGCGGAAGCTTTGATTACGGGTTACGGGTTTTTTTTTTTTTTTTTTTTCATACCGTCCGTTTAAATTGTAGCGCGACGCGCGCTCGTTCGCGTCGGCGGTCGTCATATCGTTTTCCGTCGGCGGATAATCAATACGCACGCGGGTACGCGCGCCGCGGACGCGACGTTGTGGTCCGCCGATTTTCGGTCCGTCACCGCGTACGTCACAGAAACGTCGTCGTATTCGTATGACACGCGCGCACGCGACGACGACACACCGGTAAACGTTCACGGCACCGACACCGTACGACAGCGCCGCGCAGCGTTTCCTCCGAATTTCCGATTTAACGCTCGCGCCCGCACGTTCGCAATACGACGACGGCGATAAATTCGTTTTTTTTTTTTTTTGTTATACACGTGACGTGAAAAAAAAAAAGAAAGAAAAAAACCCGAAGCCTTTACCGTTACGGTTTTTCGGACAAATTCCCTTCTACCGAGAGTTGCTTTTCTCGTCACTTGAAATAAAAATCCGATTTTCGATTCGGCGCGTAGCGAGGAACGTATCGGATTTCGCAGCGATTTTTATTCATTTTTTTTTTTTCTACAGTCGACTTTTCTACCGGTAATTTTACAATGACAACAATTTTTCCGAAAGGAAATCTGACTACGGTTAGGTACTTTAGGGAGGTCATTTTTTGATTTTCCCATTAGTTTTCCCAATAAATGGGAAACGACGTAAGGGAAACGGGAAAACAGACACAATGTTATACAAATATTATTAAAGAAAATATATAATGCATATATAATTACTTTACCATAATGTAACATGTACAAAAAAGCAACACTATTAACTAAATTTCGTTCAGGATCGTTTTTCGTTTGCAATGGTTGATTGCTGCGTACAGATACATACATTGAATTTTCCTTCCACCTTCCCGACTTCTCAACTATAACAGTGGTCCACCCACGCGCAAAGTTTTTTTTTCTGCGGACAACTTTTCCGCCAGAAATCTTGATCCGACGTATCAAGTGTATAGTACCTTTTCTGAAACGAATTTTTATCTTCTTAGTATTTTAAGAAATTTATTTTTGCGGGGGATCCTTTTTCGCTATACACAGAATATCAAAAAAAAAAAAAAAAATCAAAATTGTATTTAACCAAATCGTATTATAATATTTACGTGCTATTGTTAATTTATGTTGTACGTTGTGAAACACTGTCATCCCTTACAACAATTTGGGGGGGGCGGGGTTGTCTTATGTGTGCGGTTAATATCGAAAATATTCCGAGAAACAACTATCAATAACGTTTTGAAATCGTTGACAAAACAGAATTGTGTTTTATCGATTTTTAAACGGTAATCTGGAGAGAAAACGGAACGTATAAAACCGCGCTAGTGTAGTGATTTCGAACGCCGTAAAACCGTCGTTGATAAAACCACTCGTTCGTAACCCATCGCATTATAATACAAACGATTATAATAGTACGATAACTTTCGAAACGTGTGTGCGCCTACAATTATCGTTATCACGGAACATTTTTAAAGGCCCGTAAAATCGATTGAATTTCGACGACATTTACAAGATAATAATAATACACTATTTTGATATTATCGTTATGTATAGTCATAAGGATTTATTTACAATATTATTATTTATTACATTTGGAACGGACGCGGAATTTCACATTCGAAAACCGTGTGAACTGTATTACATTATATTATTATTGTACATTTTATTCGTGTAATTCGATATTTTATTTATAGGCGACCGTTTTATACGATAAAATATCGTTTTCCGTATTGTACGCATAAATCTCGTATCGAAAACGCTTATCTTTTGTTTCGACGTTTCGTTTGTACGCTGAATACGACGTATTTTAACGCGGTTCGTTATTATTTAGAATAATATATTGTAATAAAAGGACGTTTCGGCGGTACGTTATGTTTAGGTGCATCGGGTGTGACGTACGAGGCGCTGCACGAGGGTACCATTAGGCCGAGACAGTATTGACGGATTAGGGTTTCGGATTAATGGGCACCGAACAAAACGACACCGTCACTACACGCGGCGTACAATCTCGTCAATAAGAATACCAAAGACCTTTTGCGTTCGGACCACCAGCAGGCCCGGATGAACGCACGTGCGCTCGGCTCCCAAAATATAGTGGATCCACGTGTGTAGGCCCATTCCCGACGTTCTCCGCGCCTCCGTTTATTTCGTTTTTATAGAAGAAACGATATTCCCGTAAACCGTAGCCGAGTACGCAATACAAAACAAATATATGTGTAATTATATCTTGTTTTGAAGAAATGATACTATATTCAAATACTGAAACATCATCAAAAGCAGCTCAGTTACTTTCAGCTATTCAAACATCGGAATTCAATGTAAGTCTTATTATTATTTATAAAATATTTCAATATACAAAAAATCTTTGCACATATTTACAAAAACAAAACATAGATTTATTTCAAGCTTTAAATCATGTAGATATAATAATTTCTCAACTCCAAAGTATAAGAAGTAATTGTGATGTAGAATTTCATAAGTATTTTGAAGAATTAACAGAAAGATCAAAGAAAATTGATTTTGAAATTGACATTCCTAGAATGGTCAAACGACAAAAGCATCGATCAAACTATCATACAGATAATCCTGAAAAATATTTTAAAATAAGTGTATTCCTTCCATTTCTGGACAATTTAGTGCAACAATTAAATGACCGATTTATAAACCACAAAACTATTATAGCTGGCTTTTATTTTCTCATTTCTAACAAAAATTATAATCAACAAGCTATCAAAGATTTAAGTGAGTTTTATTCTGATGATATTGATCGAGAAGTTATTGAAACAGGGGTGAAGTTATGGCATACACATTTGGAAAAACTAAGCATAAAAAGTGTTCTTGACGCTCTTGATAACTGCAATGAAGACCTATTTCCAAATGTTTTTTAAACTCCTTCAAATATTTGCAACGTTGCCTGTCACATCGTGTGAACCCGAAAGAAGTTTTTCTACATTAAAACGAATAAAAACTTATCTTAGAAATTCTATTGGCCAGTTTAGACTTAATGGATTAGCGTCTTTAAATATTTTCGAAGTAACAGTAGAAGAAGTAATACAAAAATTGTCATTCAATCGAAAACGACGAACGGATTTTATTTTATAATATATATATATTTTTTTTTTTTCATTATTATCTATTGATAATACCACACAGACATTATGTATACATAATTAATCGATTAAAATAAAAGTTTTAGTCTGTACGTATTATATATAATATTTGATGTTTATAATTAACACCCCCCTTCAGAAAATCCTAGCTACGCCACTGCACACAATACTAGCCGTCCCACGCCCGGCGTTGCCCGCGCTAATTTTTCATTGTTTTTATTTTTATTATTTCCGTTTCGCTTTGTCCGTGTCAGCGGGTTGAACCGAAACGAAATAATAGGCGGAAAGTGAGCAAGTCGCGGACAAAAAGTGTTCCGGTGTATCGTACGTTTTATCGTTCGCGTTAGGTCAGGTTAGGTTTTCTATCCGCGTCACCCGAGGTAAGCCCGTCCAATGTTAGCCCGCCCTATTTCAAGCCGATAATTGACCGGCAGGCGGTCGGACAGAATTTTCGTTTTGATTTTTGTCGCGTAGTTGTTACGCCATTTTTATTTCTGTTTGTCATTTATTAATTTGTATTAAATTTTCGTTCATTTCATCCGCGTTATTATCGTTACGGTAAACCGCGATCCGACAAGAACGATTTAATTGTCGTACCAAAAGTACCCGAGAATCGTTCATCACCTAGCTATTTCATTTCCCGCGAGTGTTATTTTCGCGACAAAACGCAGCGATATCAAACGATATCCCCGGTCTAGAACTACGCCCGTGCAAAGTTTCGGCTCGATCCGTTCGGCGGTTCGGGCGTGAAACAGCAACCAACGAACGCGCGTACGTCCCCTCGCGAACTTGCGCGTTTATAAACAGCAATAGAGTATTGTCGGAGATACCTAAATAGCGGGACGGTTATTCACAGAGTGTCGTCGAATCGTACGGATCGACGGCGAACGAGCGATCGGGCAGCGGTGTCAGGGCCCCGACATTTTTTTCCTTTTTTTTGTTTTCGTTCGTTTTCGTCACCGGCGTAAAATATAATAAATATACAGAACTACAGCAATCACTGCGAGAACGGCGTCCGCACACGCGTCGGGTTTTCGCCTTCGCGTCGTTCGCGCCGGCATCGCGAATGCGCGACACGATCGAAATATTATTATCGCGTCGTATTGCGTTGCGCTATTGATATTATAATATTACTGCCGCACAGTCCGGTTAAATATATTATACCGTCGTCGTCGTCGCAGTCGCAGTGCATTACCGGACGGACGTCGTAAAACGCGTCGTTTCCAAAATAACGAAATTATCTCCCACGAAACGGCGTTTCCGTATAATACGGTAGGTACGCGTTCGACGTTCGTGTTATTATATTGTAGAATAATGACGCGGTCGAGTATAATAAAATTTATTACCGTATAAACGTTATAATACCGTATTATATCGCTATCAAATTAATCCCGTGCCATTCGCGAGCGGATTTTTTTAAATATATTTATATTTCACCGAAAATATTATACGACCGATTTTTTTTTTTTTCAAACGCGTTTATTAGCATAACGATATATCATAGATATTACAACCGTGTTCCTGTGCATATATATATATACGAGTGTGTATACACACTGTACCGCGGCAACGGCGACAAGATCCGTAACGGTAGAGTTCGAAATAAACGTACGCCAACGGTAACGTCTCGAAAAATACGTACAGGTCCTACCTACTTCGGGGCGATTGCTCGGGCAGTAGTAATGTTTTCCCGTAGCTAACCGGGAAATTCCCCGGAAACGTTCACTCCACGCGGAGCAAACGCGCGGAGTCCCGGGTCGATTGTGTTCTCTCTTTACGCCAAATAATATTCGGAGTCGGTAAAATTGCGTCCCCAAAAAAAGGTCATAGTCATATACTATGTAAATTGCGGCCCGTGTACTTTTAAAACATACGCAAATTGCGTCCCGGGTATATTTTGAATACACGTAAACTCCGATTTAAAATAAATTAAATTCCGATTTCCGTTCGGTTGTACAATTTGGAGATAAGTATTAATCTCTGATTGATAATAATATGTTCACTAATATAATATTACTAGCAGATAGTAGATCGAATCGTGAAAGTCGAAGGTATTACGTTGCTCTACAGTTTAATACAGTTAAATTAAATGTAATAAAAATGAACGTTATGAAAAGCGAAAAAAATAAAACTTTGAAAGTAGTCGATGGTTTCAAATTTCGTTTCCATAAAATGCTGAAAAATGATATTCAACGTTGGCGTTGCACTGTTAAAACGTGTAAGTGTTTTTTGAAATTTGCACTGTTAAAACGTGTAAGTGTTTTTTGAAATTTAATAATAATAATTTGTGGGCACTCGGGCCGCAATTTACGTATGTACAAAATACGCTCGGGCCGCAATTTACGTATGTACAAAATACGCCCGGGCCGCAATTTACATACAAAATTACAAATGGGACGCAATTTACAGCGACCCATAATATTATACCGTAGTCCGTAAGCGCGCGCCCGCGGAGGTGTCGACCAGTGGCCCTCTCAGTGGCCGTTTCCGACACTCGCCGAACGTACCGGTCGTCCCCGACCCGAACGGCACCGGTCGCCGTCGACCGAACGCGCCAGTTGCGTAAATTTCAGCCGATACGGAACGCGAATTGCGTATCGCCCGAAGTGCGGCCGACTTCGCTCGCCGACTCGCGCGCGAGTAACTGATAATTTTCGCGAACCGATCGGTTAACGAAATCGCGTCGCGGGCAGGTAACGTGGGGAAAACACAAAACGTCCATCGGCCCGAAAAAAAAAAAAAAAAATCGTCACGCGTGTATATCGAAATACTTTTAGGGCGACTGATGCGTTAAGGGGTCGAAGGAAACCGGAAAAATCGGCGTGAAAAAAAAAAAAAAAAAAGGTGTTTACGAAAGCGATATGCCTCCGCCTAGTACCCGTGTATTACTATTATTGTTATTATTATATTTAACGGACGAAGGTGTTTTTTTTTTTTTTTTTTTTTTTTAACTTTTTACACGCCTACAGACCCCGGAAATTGATCCGGAGGCATAACGGACATTTCGTATAAACACCGTATACTCGGCGTTGGTATAGGTGCGAAATATAATAATAGGACTTTCGGAGTTTTCTCAAAAACGTTCGCCCGTTCCGTTTTTGTCTGCGAAGTGGGTATATAGCGGGTACACGACAGTATGCAGCGCAGTATTCGCGGTCGTGTATTGTCTTACAAAAAAATACGATTACAAAACGGTCGGTTGGTGGGGAGGCGCGCGGAATTCGACTCCGGCGACGGAGTTCGGTCGCGTTTTTTCGTGTTTTTTTTTTTTTTTTTGTTTTCGAGGAATCCTCCGCGTGTTACCGCGTCGATACGCGTCGGCATTTCCGTCACGGCAATACGTCGTCGCGCTCAATGCGGAGCACAGCGGCCGCGGACCACGATGGCCGCCGTAAGAATACGGTCTCTTATATTATTATTATTATTATTACTGTTGTTGTTCCTCGTTCGATCGCGGATACCTACTGCGCGAAGCAGAAAATAACCGTTCGGTTCCATTGTTTTATATAGTAAATCACGCGGTAGACATACGAAACGCATAATATTATTATCCACGCCGAGACGGTAATAATATTATTATACGTATGCACGTAACGTTTATTATAGGCAGGCAGGCAGGCAGGCAGGCAGGCAGGTATAATACTCCGATCGGAAACCAGTAAAACCACTGTGGCGGCGGCGCGGATAGGTTGGGACGAGAAAAAGCAAAAACCCATACATCACGTCGGCCGGGTACGCCGCGCGGTGGCGGCGGCGGCGGGACGAACCGGAGGTATCCCACGCGTATTTTCATATAAAAAAAAAAAAAAACGTACCGCGCAAAAGAGTTACAAGCGCTTTTCTTATATACCTACATAATAATAATAATAATATATTACGCCATTCACTGGCGATAAAATCGTACAGCCGCGGTTCGTGTATATTATAAAATATAATATCTAATATTTCGCGAGCGGTTCGGAGTCGTTTCGAACGAAATCCGTTTCGTATTTTTAGATTCCGAGCGGAGCGAGCAAATTACAATGACGTTTGTTTATTATTATTATTATTATTTTTTTTTTTATAATCTGTAAACAAATTTTTCTACCAGAAATCTTGCTCCGATTTACGAGTGCAGCACTTTTTCCGAAAGGACATCCGACCGGAGCGGTATTCTGGGGAGGTCATTTTTTTATAAGTAATACAATATTAAACGAATATTATTAAAGACAATGTTATACAATGCGTATTGTTGTCGTGTAATTATTTTCCCCTTAATTCGACGCGTGTACCGTTGACAGAGCAACACTATCGGCCGAACTTCGCTCAGAATCGTTTCGTCGTTAGCGACGTTTAATCGTCGCTCACGGATAATACGCATTAAATTACCAATAAACAGCGGCTGCACCGGTCCTCTTTATCCTCAGACGGCTTTTCTTGTTTTCGAATTCGATAAACGCGGTAGTTTTAAAATACAAAAAAATTATTACACTCGGCGTATGCACGATAATGTTGTATATTATCGTTGTATTATATGCACGCGTGTTGTATGATGTACGTCCTATACGTGTTACACGAGAAACGGCGCGGCAACCGGTTTCAGTCGAGAGACGACAAAGGAATTTCAGTAATTTCGTCGTATTATTTTAGCGGGACGCGCGCGACGGCCATCAAATTAAGTAATTATTATAATAATAACCGTTTTACATAATACTGTAGTCTCGGCGTCCGCGCACACCAATACGACGTACGAGGCGGTCGTTTTCCTTATAACACAAAATGACGTCGTGACGTATGGG